TTTTAGTGGCTATTTTTTTATCGATTTAATCTATTCTTTTAGTGTAGTCCATGTATGATTATATACTTCATCCATGATAATTCTATTATTATTATTTTTTTTTGTGATGCAAATTTAATGGTTAACATAAGTTCATACAAGGAAAGAACATCTCAATATTCGTAAATTGATGAAAAAAATGAAAGTTAATAATGTAGTACCTAAATTTCTTATTGGATTATTAAAAAACAACATTTATAATGAATTTTAATAAAAATTTTGGATTTTTTTTAAAGCTTAATTCAACCGATTCAACAACTGATTCACCGATCCAGATGGGTTTTTTAGGTGCCCGATCCGGGGCACCGATCCGTTTTTTAAACTACTGGTTTCAAGTTCTAAATCCTCAAAAAGTAAGGTCGACACTTGAACCGCTACCCTACCAAGTACTTTCTTGTATTAATTAGTTCAGGGAAAGGTTTCTACTTCCTCTACAATATAGAAGATATATGCTTCCCCTACCATCCAGCGGTTCAATTTTGATCAAGAGAGAGCCATTCACTATTTGATCTTAGATCTGACGTCTCAAAGTATTTTATTTTTAGTTTGTTTTATACAAATTGTATGAATATGAAATTTGGTACGTGCCATCTTCTTATTGGGGCGCACCTATAAAAAATATCAAAAATAAATTTTTCATAAAATATAATGACAAAAATACCCCTTGAAAATTTTCGGGGTATTTTGATCATTTTAGTTTATTGATAATATTATTTTTATATTTTTCACTAGTGCAAGTTTAATAGAATATTGAACATACAAAATTTGGTATCAAAATAATTCATAATATTAAAAATAAAATAGTGTAAAGATGTGACATTGTTTTTTTTTTTTTGAGAGAAAGTTCAAAGATATTATTAGTCTAGAACGAGATTACAGAATCCAAAATAACGGCTTCAGAGAGGGTAGAACCTCCTTTGGCTAGGGAATGAGCTAGCACATTAGCCTTCCTATACACATGAACAAAAAGAGACAGAAAAGGAGGAGGCGATATCCAAAATCTAAAATAATAAAGATTTCAACTCCCAATGAAGTTTCTGATCCCCTTTGCACCATTTCACAACATTAAGAGTATCCCCTTCAATAAAGTAAGAAGTCCCCAAATTCCTCTCCACAAAGGAATGAAGGCTAAAGAGAAGGGCAAAGATCTCTGCATAATTTGCAGTCCGCACCCCAAGTGGCCCTGCATAGGAGAAGATCACATTACCCATGCAATCCCGAAGAACCATTCCAAAACCAGCAAGACCCGTTCCAAAACCAGCAAGACCCGGGTTACCCAATGAGCTACCATCAAAGTTGGGCTTATAAACCCCCAAAGGTGGGACTATCCATCTGCCTTTGGGCCTACACTTTTGGAAACCCAAATGGAAAAGGTTTAAAAGATTATGTAACACATCCACTTCAGAAATATTATGTCCGCAACTCGTAACAAAGAGGTACAACCAGATGGAATGCAATATTTTCTCCAAAACTTTTCCAACCAGCAAAGAGATACCTTCAAACATTATTCTATTTCTCTCTCTCCAGATCTCCCACAAAATGACACCTCTAAAGGCTTGCCATACAACACTCCCAGTCCTTAGTAAAGTAACTGAAAGATTACAAAGAATCCTAATCACCGACGGTGGCATTACCAATGCAGCCCCAAGCTTGTCAAAAGCCCACATCCAAATGCCACTGGCAAACAGATAATGGAGAAAGAGATGATCACTAATCTCTTCGTCTTCCTTGCACAAGAGACATATATTCGGTAAAATTTTCCCTCTCTTAATCAGATTATCAACCGTGAGAACTCTGTTTTGAACTTTCAACCAAAGAAAACATTGCACTTTGAGAGGTAGGAGTCTTTTCCACAAGATAGCTATTTCAGGCATAGACCATCGTACCATATCATGGTAGAGTAAATGATACAAAGATTTGACTGAATAAATCTAATATTCGTCAATCTCCCAAACTACCTCATCAGAAGCATGATGCAGGATATAAACATCTTTCAATAGTCTATGAAGATCAGCAAATTGAGAGAAAACCAAATTAGAAACCCTATTATAAGGCAGAGCAATATTCCACTCAATATTACTACCCCTACGAACAAAAAGCTCGGCAATAGTGGCTTCTTGATTAGTCATCAAATAATAAATCAAAGGAAAACTTTATTTCAATGGGCAGTCCCCCAACCATTTATGATGCCAAAAGGAGATATTGCAATCATTACCCACACACCACCGAATATCATGATGTATAAAGCCTTTACACGAATGGATAGCCCTTCAACTAGCTGTCATGCCCGTTACTCCATTCCTATTCCCTACCCACATACCAAGCCTATCAGTTCTATACTTTGAAGCAATCACTTCGTACAAAAGGTAGTATTTAAGAGTAAGACATCTCCATCACCATTTACAGAGCAGAGCTTGATTAACCAGTTTGATTTTCCTAATCTCAAGCTCCCCTTCTTTTTTAGGCATACACATTTTATCCCAGCAAAGGAGATGAAACTTATTCTTCTCAACAGAGAACCCCCACAGAAAGTTCATCATCGTAGTCTCTATTTTCTTTGCTATCGAAGCAGGGATTTGTATAATACACATCTGATAACTAGACAAGTTTGACAGGCATGCCTTAATGAGCGTAATCCTCCCCCCAAAAGATAAATACTTAAATTTCCACAAATCTAGCTTAACTTGGATACACTGCAAAATTTTATCCCAAACTGCAATAGGGAAACGACCATCTAAAATTGGCATACCCAAGTAGGTAATAGGGAAAATTTTAATCTTACAACCAAACTCCTGTGCAAAAGAGGAAACCTCCGCATCAAGGCAATTCACACCCACCATACCTGTTTTCCCAAAATTAACCTTTAAACCCAATGCAACTTCACAACACTTCAAAAAAATAGTAATATTTGCAACCTGTGCCTGTTGTGCTTCACAAAAAAGAAAGGTATCATTAGCATATTGCAAGTGTGAAACACACGGTCCCCCTTGGGCATTTGAAATCTGCAAAGTGACCATTCCTCATTACATTGTTAAGCATCAAACTGAAGCATTCCGCATATCTAGTAAAAAGGAAAGGGGAAAGAGGATCCCCTTGACGTAGTCCCCGGGTGGCCTTGAAAAATTCCATCGAGCTCCCTTTATAAAGAATTGAAAAATGAGCTGAAGACAAACAACCCAAAATCCCCTGCCGCCACTTTTCACTGAAACCCATATTTTTCATAATTTCTAACAAAACATGTCATTCCACCCTATCATAAGTCTTCTCCATATCCAATTTAATAACCACCCACGAATTCCCATCAAGGATCTGAGAGTGAATGCACTCCTGTGCAATCAGAACATTATCAGGGATCATTCTGTCCTTAATAAAAGCTGATTGCTGGCCAGAAATAATAACAGGTAAAACCTCATTTAGTTGCTCAGCCAAGACCTTAGCCACAATTTTGTATAGACTCGTAGCAAGGCTAATTGATCTAATATCCCCCAATGCAGCAATCATAGACTTTTTTGGGATCAAGGCAATAAAAGTAGAGTTAACCCCTTTCAAAATGTTTCCACTTCGCAAGAATCCCCTGGTCATTTCCAATAGCTGAGAACTAATCAAATTCCAAAATTGGTGAAAAAAGATTAGAGGTAAGCCATCAAGACCAGGTGCCTTGTCACTAGGCAATCTTAGCCCTCCATTCAAAATAGACGGTTGGATAAGGGGAAGCATATAAGTTTTATGTTGCAGAGGAAGCTTGCCCATTAGTTAAAGGGTGTGGTTTCTATAAAGTCGCAACCTTAAACAATCCAATTAAGGTGCACCTGCAAATATTATCATAGCATGTAATTTTGGTGTAAAAAATTATTAGGATTATCTAAAAATCTATTTTTATATCTAATTATAAAATTTTAAACTCTAAAAATGATTAAAATTAAATAGATCTATAAACACATGAAAATCTTGAAAAAATTGATGGTCTAGATAATATTTTGCAAGATGCACTATTTATGGGACTAAAAATCTTTTTGTTTTTCATATTCATACATCTCGATGTTGAGATGATCAATTAGAGTGTTTTTCAACATTCAACAAATATTTTCTGATAAATTTTGGGGGTGCATCTTTAATTCTACATTTTAAGGTTGCAACCTTATACAAACTTTTTCCTTAGTTAACATGCTTTTGGGGAAAAGAAAGAATATATCAGAAACCAGAAAGTCCAAACATAAAAAGTACAAAGAAATAAAATTTAAGTTGGAAAAATAGGCCATGGATTAACGTTTCCACCAAGTCCAATTGATGACTGTTACTGTTTGGAACTTTAGTGGGCCTTATGGCTTAGAAAATAATAGTTTTAATGCTTTGAAGAACATAAAACAACATGGACCGCTAGCTGTTGTGAGACTTCAGACGAATTTATATAAATATTTTTATTAAAATCATTTAATTTAATTATTTATGTTAGCAGTTTCAAAAAAAATAAAAAATAAAAATAAAATCGTATACATAATCCATATAAAAAATTACTAACATATTGGGTTTGCACTTAAAAACATTTACTTGTATCTTTGCTTAGTAGGCTTGTACAATTGGAACGCGTCAAATTTATGGATCTCCCCCTTGGCAATATTGGCTACCACATTTGGGTTGAATGAAATGAATTCCACAGTAAATCATTAATCATCCGAGTACTAATGAATTTCAATGTCAAGGACATTTATTCTTTACTTTCATTGAAGTCTAGTTTGAAATTTCAAACCATCTAATTCTTTATTGGACTTGGAGGCATATTGATGTCTTTATGCTCTTTGGGACGGCATGGTATCAATAGTTGTGCTCAATTTACATTTTTTAATGGGATTTCTTGAAGATTTTGGGATATGACTCTTGTTATTGACTAATTCATGTTTATGTAAGATTACAACTTTATTTGTAAAAATAATGATGCACTAACCTACTGTCTATTTTATTTGGATGGTGTAAATTGGACATTGTCTTAAAAGACGTGTCATTTATTGACACCGTCTAAAAAATATGTCAAATCTAAGTCATCCAAATAAATAAACGGTGCATAGTATTGCAACCTTATTTAT